CTCCAACGGCATTTTCGGACCACCAACGAGATCGCGCCGCCGGGGGAAGCGCAGAGGCCTGAACCACACCACAGCCAATATCGCCGCCGAGCGACTAAAGGCGCGAGCGAAGCTAAAACAAGAAGCTACCAGCATGGCAGCATCGCAGGTGAATAATACGTAGAGATGAGAATGCGAATCGCGCGCTAGATTGACACGGGAATCCAAACCGTACCTGAACTGAACCTGCTGCAGATTGAGAGCGAGCGAGCGAGAGAGCGCGAGAGAAGATGGCGAAATCGAAGCTTCTGAAGCTTTCGCGGTTTCTTCTTTATAGGCGCCCCGCGCGCGTCCGCTTGATGAAGACGCTGAACTCGATTTCCCTATCGACGGCAAAATGGGAACCCGGGTCATCTTCGTAAATTCCTAGACGAGGACGAGGGCAATCTCGGCAGTTTCTCGAAAGAAAAAATGAATGAATGAATGGAATAAAAAAATAAAAACAAAAAGAGAGAGTGTGGAAGCCACTTCTGAAAGCGTTTATCAGAGCCAGGTTTCGATCCTGGGACCTGTGGGTTATGGGCCCACCACGCTTCCGCTGCGCCACTCTGATTTGTTGCTTCTTTTACTCCTCAATTTTATCTATATAACTAAAATATTTAGTCATTCGGTCCTTCTTCCATTCTGCATACTGACGAGTACCATATCATTTTGAAATCGTGCTCCTATTTTGATCGAGCAAGAAAGTATATTGGTGTTCCTAAAACTCATATACATAACGTAACGGATTCCCACGTTTTTCGATTGGTACTATCAAATCCCTAATATGTTTAGAAAAAGTGCAATCAAATCTTTTTCGGCGAATAATATTAAAAGTTTTTCTACGTGGCACCGAAAATCTACTGAAGTGACGGTCTTAAAATTTCACTTTTACGAGGTGGATTCGGGATCCGATCGCGTTTTCTCAATAAATGTTAGGAACTTAATTGCATCGATTGATAAATTTAAAACTTGATTCTACTCTTTGATAAAAGTTTTAGGGCTTAGGTTTGCATTTGGGCCGGTGTAAAGGGTGCCTCTTTAAACCGTGGGTCTTTTGTTTTTTTGGCTAAAATTTAAACTGTGCGTCGGAGGCCATGTTTTCAGCCCAAAAAGAAATGGTTGTGGCAGGGTAGGAAGTGAAATTGGAACAGTTGTGGGACGAAATTTATTGAAATACTAGTTTTATATCGAGTAGATTGGCTTGGACAGTGTCGTAGGAAGGAATATGCATCCGAGTGTTTGAATTTTGAAAAATTTTTTTTTTTTTTTGGTAACCCAAGGAACCCCCGCACGGCCGACAGCCGGGAGGTAAACCCTGGGGGCGACACATGCTAGCCACCATAGACGTGCACCAGTTAAGTCACTCTGTGGCGCTCAGGATTTGAACACCCAACCTTTTGCGAGAGGAAGAGTGTCCTTTCCAGTAGCCCCACCAGGCGGGTGGTTGAAATTTTGAAATTTTCGTCTCTCATTAATCGACTTTTTTCGCGCGTTACTGTCGTGTGGTATCGCCATTGTACAATTACCATATTGCATACCAGAAGACAATAAAAAAGGAAGAAGGAATCCAATTCCATTATCCACGTGACTTTGTGGCGAATTGAAAGATTGGTGACAAAACTAGAACTGGATAAATAAGATGTGAAATTTAGGAATTTTGTTATATCTTATGCACTGTTTGGTGAATCGTATTAATAGGACTGAATATTTTTGTATGCTATCATGCCCATTGTTTGGTGGAAACAATCATATCGGCGTAAATTGCACAACTAGAAACGGTAATAATTTATAACGATTCTCTACAAAAAAAAACTGAAATTACACAAATAGAGACAACCTCCAATAATCAATTCATAATTAGGATAATATCTAGAGCTTTCATAGCATTCTAGAGTCGACTATGACAAAAAAATATAAACGGGTTACAACGATATCAACGAGATTAATAGATGAATGAATGATAGATCTAGCAAGAGAGAGAAAGCGCAATGATTTTGAAAACATAGTGTTTCTATTGTCTGGCTGCTTTGGCTGCTTTTGTGAAATTTCAATTCGAGCCAGGGAACTATGGATGAGAAAAAGTTTTGAATCTCTTGCTGCTTTTGTAAAGCTTCCATGTGAACCAAATTGTTGCAAAGGAGAAAAAGTTTCGACTTTCTCTTTACTTTCGTGAAATTTCGGAATGAAACCAAAGAATTACGGAGGAGCCATGGAATTTCGAGGTTACAAAGGAGGAGGAGGAGAGGATAAGTTTTTTCATAAAATTAAAAAAAAAAGCTTCAGTACTATGGACATAAAAAGATTATATCCATCTTTATCCCGCATTCATACAAAGTATTTTTATTCATGTTATATTCCTCTTAATCTGGCCTTATTTCATCTTTAAAAGCAATCAAACATGGGATCTATCCTGACTTTTATCGTATTAACAAAATATTGTTGAAACACACCTTAACACTACAACGTGCTTTTGCAGTAGGGAAAATTATCAAAACAGTCATAAACCTATTGCAATTGTGCCAATTTAGTCATAAACATTTTTTTGTGCCAATTTAGTCTATCCGCCTAATTTTGGCCGATCGGCAGCTGTTGCTATCGTGGACGCCGGCCAGTCAATGCTAACGTTGCAATTTTTAAAATATTTTTTTTCTTGTCTTTCCCTTTTTTTTCTTTTCCTCCCTTCATCTTCAACCTCTAACCAGTCGCCAACCGGTTAGAGTCAAGGGCCGACAAGGTCAGAAAAAGAAAAAAAAAAATTAAAGTGAAAAAATTGCCACATCATCGTTGGCCAGTCGGCTGGCATCCACGTCAGCACCGGCCGGCCAAAATTGGTCAGATGGACTGAATTGACACAAAAAAAAAAAAGTTCAGGACTGAATTGGCACAACTGCAATAGGTTTAAGACTATTTTGGTAATTTTCCCCTTTATAGTATCGCGAGGTGGAGAGTATCTTACGAGGAACACTCTGAAATTCAAAGAGAGTCAGTGGGGCTCTGTAGATTGGTTTAGTTGGGAATGTGAGAGAGAGATTCCTTTTTCAATCTAGTCATTACCGCCCGTCTAACGTGGCACATTGCCATATCAGTGATTTCCGCCGAAAATTGATCGAAATGATTATATTAAAATTTTGCGCAAATATTTTGGGGTAAATTGATAAAATTAAAAAAATTATGATTGAATTGACATACATCCAATAGATATAAAATTAATTGGACAATTTTACTGATTTTCTTATATGGATAGACACTCTTCGATCGAATCAGAAAACAAAACTTAGCATGATGCAAAAAATTGTTGCTTGATAGTTCCCAAACATAACATGAAGAAGCGTCTCTTGTACAAGAGCAGGATTGATCCGCTAGTCCTAAAAAGACTTGACAAATACACGTACATAGGCCTACTATTGATTAGCTAGCCAAAAACGATTCCACGTAGCCAAAAAAAAAAAAAAAACAACCAGTGCATGTCTTTAAATGTTGGAGGACATGTGCATCTGAATCTTCAAACTGTGTTGGCACTCTTCGCCGCCACCTCTGATTTAACATAGGTTTTGCCATATCAAAGCTCCATGGATATCCATGTTTGATCTCGGAGCAACAGCCAAGAGAGTAGCTTAGATCATGACAGCCCCGACACTACAACTATGAACCGATAGCAAAACAACAACAATAATATCAAAGCTCAATTCGGGAACGATGGGATTGACAATGAAACGCATGATTGTTTTTGTGTAAAGATAAATCGAAACCTTTAGGACAACTTCCTCTTACCATTTAAGATAGAAAAGAGAAAAAAAAAAAACCCAAGAATTCATGCCATCGTACATGAAGAATCAGCAGCATCTTCATGACCCCACCATCTCCATAGGGTCAAGAATAGGTCGTCGTCGTACAGCTTAGGATCTTCCACTTCCTCTTGGATTCGAACTATAATAGACAATGCGTGAAATTAGGATACATCACTGTTTCGCCCAGAGTAGTCTCGAATGAAAGATCTTTCACCGAAGGAAAAGATTTTTGGTTTTTGTTAAGTATGGATCGTGCAGCAGACATCATGATAATTTATATGAACTGTTAGGTCTCTCTCGAGAGGAACCAAGAATCGGTTATACTTCAAAAAGCGTCCTCCCGCTTTCTGTAAAACTATTACCAATTCAGTTGACATATATAGTTCTCCGATAACAAGGAGATGCACTACTTTCCCATCGTATTATGAGGTTAGGCTAAGATCCCTCGTTTTTAGTTCGAAGCCTTCTGAGAAAGGATGGATCCCTATATTCTTCAAGGTTCGACCACTTCAAATGCCGAGAGGATTAGCTTTTTAGTTATCCTTTCAAGGGAAAATGACATAAATGACCATTGAACTATGACTTAATGTGTAATAAGGTCCCTTAACTTTTAATTTGTTCAATGTGGTCCCTAGACTTTAGCCGAATGTACAATGTGGTCCATGAACTTTAAATTTGTTCAATTCGGTTCTTAAACTTTTGATACATGTTCACACTAGTTCCTGGATCATATGAAAATGTTTAATATTGTCCTAAACTTAAATTAATGAAATGATAACATTAGTTATAGGGACTAGTTTGAACATTTACTAAAAATTCAGGGAATACATTGAACAAATTAAAAGTTCATCAACCACATTGCACATTGGACTAAAGCGCAAAGATCACACTAAACAATTGAAAGTTCGGGAACCACATTGCACATTGGGCTAATGTTCAAAGACTATTTGTCATTATCCCTTCTATCAAAATATGGGTCCTCAAGCAATGTTCACCGTCTTAAGCTCGACAATTCACATAATAAACTAATTGTTCACCGCCGCCAGAATGCGACTCAAAGATATAGTGTTATGTTCAGCATGCAAGGTTCAGCTGTCCTTCGACACATATTGACCAGAATTGCATGCCGCGTAACAGAACTCGACCAGATGAAAGAAAAACCAACAAGGCCAACTAGCCTCGGCAAGAAAATCATCTAACAATGCTTTTTGCAAACCCTTCTCATGGACCCATTCGAGAGATTCTAGCCATAAGTTGATGGACACACATTCCTGACAAAAACTAGCCATTAAGTCAGGAGACTCCCAAGAAGTACTGGGCCCTGCAATTTATCTCCCTTATTTCCAGAAATGCAGATTTGATACAAACTATGAATAGATATGAATTCAAGCAGAAGAACCAAACAGGCTCCAATCATTGACTTTGAAGCTGGAGACTGCTAATTTAAAGACATCAGCCATGGGCATGTATCCAGATTGAGATGCAGGGGCAGTTAATCCAGCACCAACTGTTCTTGCACTTTCGCTCAAAGGGCTGCAAGCAAAATGAGTTTTTGGGTGAACCAGGATAACTTTAAACAAATAAATTGAGTATTATTTATTCATGCATGCGCAGATGCATTAGGCACTTGGCCCCAAAATGTGGGTGGGTGGGATGACGGTTCAGATATTCCAAACAACAAACCCACAGCAAGAAATAAGGGGAAAAAGTACACACACAATCAACCAGCACAAGCACAGAATGATCCATTAATGAAAGGATTCAGCCAGCTTTAGGTATTCTTACTGCTAATGCTAGTGCATCGGCAGAAGTTTTCCAAGGAAAACTGAGCTGAAGCAATTTTACGTTTTCATCCATTCTCACAGCTTCTCTCACCAAACACTTCTGAAGGGCAGTCGAGCTCCCTCTTGCCAACTTCCAAGGAAGAAAGCCAAAAGGTCTGTCATGCCACTGCTGGGGTGGAAGAAATTCACCGGAGAAGGAGCAAACATACCCATCTAAGTCCGATATCTCCTAGACTATGCAACTACAGACTCGTGTTAAGCAATAGGTAAGTTCAGATAGGAGAATTAAGGAAAAGGAGATCTAGGGAACAATTATATAGTAAATTGCAAAGTGAGATTATTCCTGTCTCACTTTACTATTTACCAGACACAGCCACTCTTCAAACAAAAATTTTGAAATATACATGGAGTAGAAGACCACCACCCAAAACCATTTTCAGGGATTTATCTGGACATCCAAGATCTGAGAAGGTAAAGAGACAGCTCAAGGTCACAATGCCTTCCCGTCAGCATAGTGATAGATTTCCAGCTACAAAAAGAGCCAGCAAGCAAACTCAGAGGTCATCTCTCTAGCAGTTGGTTCGGCAAACCACGTCCGTAGAAAAACAATCAAAAGAACCTGATCACCCTCAAGTTATAGATCCACCAAATCCTAGGTTGGAATCAATCCTCAAGCAAGATCTCTACAGCCTTCCGTTCCAACCCAGTTTCTTTCATTCCTGCCTTTCTGGCTGAGGATCTTAAAACGTCCATATCAACAAAACTATCTATTATAATAAGCAGGTGGGACACTGTCTATGCTTATTCATTCGGTCCACTAAATATCGTCCTACAGTTTTCTCTTAACCTATAGCATCAACAAAACTAATTGAGATGCACAGAACATCCACAGTAAAGGATGCTTAATTTAGAAGCAGTGAATGGCAAGTTTCCTGGGTACATAATGTATTAGATGTTAGTGCTTTGAACTACATCGTCTCAACAAAAATATCAGGAGAATGATCATACTGATAGCAGTCTTTTCTAATACGTACTTTATTAATATAGGCTCATATGCAGCAATTAGTACATCTGTCCCAACTTCCTTCAGACGCAAATTGGCCAGATAGACCTGTATAAAAAACATCACATCAATGCAACCCCCTCTGGGGGACCTAAACAACATCATACAAGGATAAGGAAGATAAGTGACTGACCCTCACTATATTTTGTGCTTCCCTTCCCTGCCTTCCCTTGGAGATAGCCTGCACGAATTTTCACAAATTAGAGGACAAAAGCAAGATGAAACAATTCTTAGACAAAAGGAAAAGCCACCTAATATAGACAAAAGCAGAAAACATCAAGGCCTTAATGTTTGCTCAACAAATGATTGAAAGAAAAGAAAACAAGTACTACGGCAAACAATTGAATAATTGTGATTCAAAAACTTGACAATTCATGCAGAAATACTTCCACAAAAAATTTACTAGCAAAAAAACATGCAGAAGAGAGGAGATGCTTCGATGGGAACTTGTGATATTCAATACATATTAGGCCCTTATCAAGTTTGACTACGAAGAAAGTGAGTTATAAGAAACAAAATAGAGCTCTACAACCATACCATCTGTCCAACTGCGGTGGTAACGACAGCGGGTGTGTTTCTATAAGTCAATCCAGGGGCCTCAACCACTGCCGACTGTTCGATCACCTGATGAACATTGAAGTGGAAAAACTGCAGTTAAAGGAGAATGTCCTGCATTATGACTACTAAATGCACTAGCATGCCATGGATGGAAGATAACGACTCACTGGTCTGAATTAATATAAACAAGTAACACGACCATGAAAAGAAATTTCAACTTGAATTTTCCAGGCATAGAGCACATTAACACCACACACGCGCACACTCTCGCACAAAAAGTCCAAGAAACTTCATGCTAAGATCCATACGAACCAAAAGTATCATGCACTCTCTCTAACATCTGACAAATGATTATGACGTGAATAAAGTATACGACTGTAAGACCGAGAACTGTGATCGAGTGGCAGTGGGAAAAAGAGAGACAAACAGAAAGTCGTTACTCGCAGCGCATTATGATCCCAATATATAATCAAACCAAGTGCACAGGCGGGCAACAATACAACAAAAATTAAGCACAGGAAGAAGCCTAATACCATGCCTTGTTCCGCATCTTGTTCGGTGGCAAGGTCTTGCAGAAACCACGCCGCACTCCCGCTATCTCCCACTTCATGCTTGAAATCCAAGAGCTCGAAAATCAAGCTCTCATCCCTCGAAGGGTCCACAAACACCTCCTTCAAAAAACCGCATCCACCACAACACAAAAATCAATCGGCAACCTTATCGACGGCGAGCCTAAACCGAACCAGTAAGACAACGACATGCACGGAGTAAATCCGAACCTGGTGGTCAGGGACTTGCCTGATGTTGCTCACATCCTACATACATCAGCAAAAGGGGCATTTCATTCCGCAATCAAATACTAAGTATAAAATAAAATTCGAAAGCGCAGACGATTGGAGGAAACGAGAGACCTCGAATCTGTTAGGAAATCTGCTACCGATTGCGCCCCCAAACAACGGCCGTTCCGAGCACGACTCCAACGGCATTTTCGGACCGCCAACGAGATCGCGCCGCCGGGGGAAGCGCAGAGGCCTGAACCACACCACAGCCAATATCGCCGCCGAGCGACTAAAGGCGCGAGCGAAGCTAAAACAAGAAGCTACCAGCATCGCAGCATCGCAGGTGAATAATACGTAGAGATGAGAATGCGAATCGCGCGCTAGATTGACACGGGAATCCAAACCGTACCTGAACTGAACCTGCTGCAGATTGAGAGCGAGCGAGCGAGAGAGCGCGAGAGAAGATGGCGAAATCGAAGCTTCTGAAGCGTTCGCGGTTTCTTCTTTATAGGCGCCGCGCGCGCGTCCGCTTGATGAAGACGCTGAACTCGATTTCCCTATCGACGGCAAAATGGGAACCCGGGTCATCTTCGTAAATTCCTAGAGGAGGACGAGGGCAATCTCGGCAGTTTCTCGAAAGAAAAAATGAATGAATGAATGGAATAAAAAAATAAAAACAAAAAGAGAGAGTGTGGAAGCCACTTCTGAAAGCGTTTATCAGAGCCAGGTTTCGATCCTGGGACCTGTGGGTTATGGGCCCACCACGCTTCCGCTGCGCCACTCTGATTTGTTGCTTCCTTTACTCCTTAATTTTATCTATATAACTAAAATATTTAATCATTCGGTCCTTCTTCCATGCTGCATACTGACGAGTACCATATCATTTTGAAATCGTGCTCCTATTTTGATCGAGCAAGAAAGTATATTGGTGTTCCTAAAACTCATATACATAATGTAACGGATTCCCACATTTTTTGATTGGTACTATCAAATCCCTAATATGTTTAGAAAAAGTGCAATCAAATCTTTTTAGGCAAATGATATTAAAAGTTTTTCTACGGGGCACCGAAAATCTACTTAAGTGACGGTCTTAAAATTTCACTTTTACGAGGTGGGTTCGGGATCCGATCGCGTTTTCTCAATAAATGTTAGGAACTTAAAATTTAAAACTTGATTGTACTCTTTGATAAAAGTTTTAGGGCTTAGGTTTGCATTTGGGCCGGTGTAAAGGGTGCCTCTTTAAACCGTGGGTCTTTTGTTTTTTTGGCTAAAATTTAAACTGTGCGTCGGAGGCCATGTTTTCAGCCCAAAAAGAAATGATTGTGGCAGGGTAGGAAGTGAAATTGGAATAGTTGTGGGACGAAATTTATTGAAATACTAGTTTTATATCGAGTAGATTGGCTTGGACAGTGTCGTAGGAAGGAATATGCATCCGAGTGTTTGAATTTTGAAATTTTCGTCTCTCATTAATCGACTTTTTTCGCGCGTTACTGTCGTGTGGTATCGCCATTGTACAATTACCATATTGCATACCAAAAGACAATAAAAAAGGAAGAAGGAATCCAATTCCATTATCCACGTGACTTTGTGGCGAATTGAAAGATTGGTGACAAAACTAGAACTGGATAAATAAGATGTGAAATTTAGGAATTTTGTTATATCTTATACACTATTTGGTGAATCGTATTAATAGGACTGAATATTTTTGTATGCTATCATGCCCATTGTTTGGTGGAAACAATCATATCGGCGTAAATTGCAGAACTAGAAACGGTAATAATTTATAACGATTCTCTACAAAAAAAAAAACTTAAATTACACAAATAGAGACAACCTCCAATAATCAATTCATAATTAGGATAATATCTAGAGCTTTCATAGCATTCTAGAGTCGACTATGACAAAAAAATATAAACGGGTTACAACGATATCAACGAGATTAATAGATGAATGAATGATAGATCTAGCAAGAGAGAGAAAGCGCAATGATTTTGAAAACATAGTGTTTCGATTGTCTGGCTGCTTTTGTGAAATTTCAATTCGAGCTAGGGAACTATGGATGAGAAAAAGTTTTGAATCTCTTGCTGCTTTTGTAAAGCTTCCATGTGAACCAAATTGTTGCAAAGGAGAAAAAGTTTCGACTTTCTCTTTACTTTCGTGAAATTTCGGAATGAAACCAAAGAATTACGGAGGAGCCATGGAATTTCGAGGTTACAAAGGAGGAGGAGGAGAGGATAAGTTTTTTCATAAAATTAAAAAAAAAAGCTTCAGTACTATGGACATAAAAAGATTATATCCATCTTTATCCCGCATTCATACAAAGTATTTTTATTCATGTTATATTCCTCTTAATCTGGCCTTATTTCATCTTTAAAAGCAATCAAACATGGGATCTATCCTGACTTTTATCGTGTTAACAAAATATTGTTCAAACACACCTTAACACTACAACGTGCTTTTTACAGTAGGGAAAATTATCAAAATAATCATAAATCTATTGCAATTGTGCCAATTTAGTCATAAACATTTTTTTGTGCCAATTTAGTCTATCCGCCTAATTTTGGCCGGTCGGCGGCTGTTGCTATCGTGGACGCCGGCCAGCCAATGTTAACGTTGCAATTTTTAAAATATTTCTTTTCTTTTCTTTCCCTTTTTTTTTCTTTTCCTCCCTTCATCTTCAACCTCTAACCAGTCGCCAACCGGTTAGAGTCAAGGGCCGACAAGGTCAGAAAAAGAAAAAAAAAAATTAAAGTGAAAAAATTGCCACATCATCGTTGGCCAGTCGGCTGGCATCCACATCAGCACCGCCCGGCAAAAAAAAAAAAATTCAGGACTGAATTGGCACAATTGCAATAGATTCAAGACTATTTTGGTAATTTCCCCCTTTATAGTATTGCGAGGTGGAGAGTATCTTACGAGGAACACTCTGAAATTCAATTGTTTTTCGGATGTTAAATTTCATCGTAAGATACATAAAAGCAGGTGAATAAAGAGGTGGTTTAATTAATACAAACATGTAAAACTTTTTGAAATACTCGCGACATCGCGATACACTTGTCATTAATGGCGTCCAGTCGAAAACGCATAACATAAAGGGGAAGAAATTGATTTTCCTGCTTTTGGATATAAATCAAACTTCTCAATCGGATACAAGACGTCCTCGTGGATGTAAGTTACATTTCGACCAATTCGCTAAATTCGATACCACGCTCAACTACGGCAGATGAGAAGGGTCTCGACGTGTTCAATGAAAAATCACAGGGGGAACGAGTTATGTTGTTACGAACTACAAGCAACTTTGCATTCTATTTTTCGCGGCCTCGAAATCTCTATCTCACAGAAAAAAAAAAAAAAAACAACCCGATAAACATCCATTTTCCTTTCTTCACGCGGCCTTCGCTCCCGGCTCTCGTTCCTCTCTCCCTTCTCCACTCCGTCCATCCGAAAAATCACCGCTCTCCCGAGCTTCGATCGAGCGCAGGTCGTCCCCATCGACACTAGGGGGCGATTCGCGAAGGACTCACGCTCCGACCGATCAGCTAAAAAACTCCCATTCCGGAGTTCAGATTCCGGTCGGGGAACGGAGAATCCGGCCAACGACCCAATCCCGCCACTACGAAAGAACCATAAAACGAGGGAGGAGGCCGAGGCCGACGCCGTCGCCGTCTCCGTTTCCGCTTTCCACACTCCCCAAAATTGCTATCTCCAAAAATAAAAATTAAAAACAAAAAAGAGCAAAAAATAAAATAGAATAAATAAAAAGGAAATCCATTTTTCCATTTCTTTCCTTGCCCTTCTCTGTCCTTCCTTCGCCTCGGCCCTCTTTCCCCTTATTCTTCTCTTCCGCCTCTCTCGATCAAAGACCCCCCAAAAAATCCTCCCAATTTTTATTCTTCTTCTTCCATCTTCCATCTTCCATCTTCATCTTCTTCATCTTCTTCTTCTTCTTCATCACTCCCCAGGAAATCCACCAACCCTTCTCCTTCGTCTCCCTTCTCTTGCAGCTCTTCAATCGAATCGCGCGTTCCAATTGGGGGACTGTGTTCCTTCCGATTTTAGGGCTCCGCCGTCCAATCTCCCGATTAAATCCCGGCGGTCTTCCCATCCTCCCCCTCGTTCTCGCTCGGCTCGGCTGGGTGGGGATTTAGCTAGCGCTAGCGAGCGAGAGCGCGCGCGCGGCGGAGGAGGCGGCGGCGGCGGCTTCGACGTCCGGTCCGGTAGTCCGGCGGAGTAGTGGGGAGAGAGAGAGAGGGTGTGGGGGAAGAAGGATGAGCAATCCGCAGAAGAAGAGGAACTTCCAGATAGAGGCGTTCAAGCACAAGGTGGTGGTGGATCCCAAGTACGCCGACAAGACGTGGAAGATCCTGGAGCACGCCATCCACGAGATTTACAATCATAACGCCAGCGGCCTCAGCTTCGAAGAGCTCTACAGGTTCTACTCTCTCTTTCTTTTCTTTTTCTTTCTTGACGTTTCCCTCTCTCTCTCTCTCTCTCGCGGCTGTCCATTCTGGTGGTTCTGTTGTTGCGATCGTGTTTCTTGCGTCGGTTGGCGCGGCGGATGATGAGATACACGCCGTGTGCCGTCTCCGCGTCTCCGCATCTGGTGATGTTCGGTTCGCGCCTCGAGGCTCGTCAATCGGATGTGCGTATGGGTTGATTGAGCGATTTAGGCTAATCCTGGTTTGTCTTTCTTTGAGGTGGGAATTCCCTAATTAGCCAGCTCGAGCTTGACGCGTATTACGGTTTGATGAGTCTCTGTTTACTCGTCGGTGCAATATTGACTTTGATTCTGCTCGTTTTTCGCGCGATGCGCCCCCGTCTCTTTACATTAGGTATTTCGCCTCGGTTTGTTTGACCTGTGGTTGTTTTAGCTGTACTGTTGCGGGAGTACTTCTTTGGTTTATGATCTACTAATTTGCACTTTGAAAGGAGATATAGACTTGGTAGTGTTATCCTTAATTGAGTACGATGAGCGATGAAATTGGCAGTCGCTGTCCGACTCTTTGTTCCGCCTTCCCCTACGGGTTGCGGCCTTTAGACTGGATTATGAAACTCCCTTTTGTGTATTGGTCCGATGCCAATTGGTTTGGTGTTGTTCTGGTAAACAGCATCGAGGTGACGATGCATCCGCGCTCTTCCTCATTTATTATGCGTCGGTATTGAGTTGCATTGTCTGTGGGCGACGGCCGTAAAGTTGTGAGATCGTAATATTTTTTTGATGTGCCTTCTTATATAGGAACGCCTACAACATGGTTCTGCACAAGTTTGGTGAGAAACTGTACACTGGATTGGTGACGACCATGACTGCTCACCTTAAGGAAATATCGAAATCCATCGAAGATGCCCAAGGAGGTTTGTTTCTGGAGGAACTAAACAGGAAATGGAACGATCATAATAAAGCACTGCAAATGATCAGGGACATCCTCATGTACATGGATAGAACTTTCATCCAAAGTGCCCGCAAAACCCCAGTTCATGAGCTTGGGTTGATTCTTTGGAGGGATAATGTTATCTACTCCAGCAAGATCCGCACTAGGCTTCTAGATACATTGCTAGAACTAGTACTTAGAGAACGGACGGGCGAGGTCATCAATCGGGGGTTGATGAGGAACATAATTAAAATGCTGATGGATTTGGGTTCTTCAGTTTATCAAGAAGAATTCGAACAGCCATTTCTGGAGGTTTCAGCCGAGTTTTACAAAGGCGAATCCCAGAAGTTTATCGAGTGTTGTGATTGTGGTGAGTATCTGAAGAAAGCGGAGAGGCGTCTTAATGAAGAAATGGAGAGAGTAACGCACTACTTGGACGCCAAGAGTGAAGCTAAGATCACAAATGTCGTGGAGAAGGAGATGATCGCAAATCACATGCTGGCATTGGTGCACATGGAGAATTCGGGCTTGGTGAACATGCTTCTCGACGATAAGTATGAAGACTTAGGAAGGATGTACAACTTGTTTCGTCGGGTCTCCAGTGGTCTCTCAACTGTTCGAGACGTGATGACTTCTCATATAAGGGAGATTGGCAAGCAGTTAGTTACTGATCCCGAGAGGTTGAAGGACCCTGTTGAATTTGTTCAGCGGCTATTGGATGAAAAGGATAAGTATGATAAGATCATAAGCTCTGCATTTAACAACGATAAGACGTTTCAGAATGCTTTGAATTCGTCCTTTGAATATTTCATCAACTTGAATGCTCGTTCTCCCGAATTCATTTCGTTGTTTGTTGATGATAAATTACGCAAAGGCTTGAAGGGCGTCAGTGAGGAGGATGTGGAGGTTATTCTTGATAAGGTGATGATGTTGTTCCGCTACTTGCAAGAAAAGGATGTGTTTGAGAAGTATTATAAACAGCATCTGGCGAAAAGGCTTCTGTCTGGAAAAACTGTTTCTGATGATGCAGAAAGGAGTCTCATTGTTAAGCTCAAGACTGAATGTGGATATCAATTCACTTCAAAGCTAGAAGGCATGTTCACTGATATGAAAACCTCCCAAGATACGATGCAGGGGTTCTACGCAAGCCACCCCGAGCTAGGAGAGGGCCCGACATTAACCGTTCAGGTTCTAACAACAGGCTCGTGGCCTACACAACCTAGTGTGACGTGTAACTTGCCAGCTGAGATGTCGGCTCTATGTGAGAAGTTTCGCTCATATTACCTTGGGACACACACTGGTCGGAGATTGTCTTGGCAAACAAATATGGGAACTGCAGACATAAAAGCTACTTTTGGGAAAGGGCAGAAGCATGAATTGAACGTATCCACATACCAGATGTGCGTGCTGATGTTATTCAACAATTCTGACCGACTGAGCTATAAAGAGATCGAACAAGCTACAGAGATCCCTGCTTCAGACTTAAAGCGGTGCCTGCAATCTTTGGCATGCGTCAAGGGAAAGAATGTTCTAAGAAAGGAGCCTATGAGTAAAGATATCGGTGAGGATGATGCGTTCTTCGTCAATGACAAGTTTACAAGTAAGTTTTACAAGGTGAAGATAGGAACTGTTGTTGCACAGAAAGAGTCAGAACCCGAGAAACAGGAAACCCGACAAAGAGTGGAGGAGGACCGGAAGCCCCAAATTGAGGCTGCAATAGTGAGAATCATGAAATCAAGGAAGGTGTTGGATCATAATAATATAATAACAGAGGTAACGAAGCAGCTGCAGTCGAGGTTTTTGGCCAATCCCACAGAGATAAAGAAGCGGATCGAGTCTCTCATCGAGCGTGATTTCTTGGAGAGAGATAATGTGGATAGGAAGCTGTACCGCTACTTGGCTTAGATGAAATGGTTTGAGCAGATTACTTTTTCGCTTGTGGGAATGCTGGAATTGCAAATGGTTTGTACTCTATTGAGTATTGCTCAGTGGAAAAATTATTTTAAACTTCAAGAGGTTCGTTCCATTTAGTTTCAAAATTTGAATTGCTCAATTTGGTTGGACTACTTTAGCCCCCCCCCCCCCCCCCCCACTCTCTCCTCCGGCAGTAGAAAAGAAAGAAGTGCTTAGGAGAATGCATTTTCATTTCAATACTTTACTTCCTGTGACATCTAAAGCAGGTTTCAGCCCCATCTAAGAGGATAAGTTTATTGATGGATGCCTAGTTTTGCTTTTTTGCTTTGAATTGTCATTCAATTATTTGAACCCAGGTCTGAAGGAGAAGAACAACGAGAATCTGATATTCCGTCAAGAGATTTGAGTTCTCCATCTGTTCCTCTTTTGCCAAATTTGAGTTCTGCATCTCGGCGGACTATTGATCGGTTCAGGTGGGTTCTAGCAGTGCTCATTTGTGTTAATTGCTGCCGTATCTGCACTGGCCATCCCTTCTCCATGGAATTGCCCGGAGATTACTTACGGTTGATATCCTTGTTCCCAAGGAGCATGATCTTGGGCCACCCGGTCCCTAATACCCTACCAACTTTCTTAGTTAGCCTCCACACTGCTTGCCCTAATGCAGGTCCGTATAGTCTTTAGCTAAGATAAACTAAAAGAGCTGATATGAAATCGTTCCCATGTTCTGCCATTCGTACTAATAATGGCAACCGAGTCTCTGATCACAGCAATATGGAGTATTATCTGCTGCTAAATACTCGACTCCAGGCTTTGTGCTCCGTAGAGCTGGCGACATGGTCGCGAGGTAGTCAGTAACAGAGGGTAAAACTATGTCCGAAGTTGAGGATAATGCTGAATGTCTTCACAGTCGTGACTGTCGGCTGATAATAGTCGGCTTTGCGAGATAGTTGCCATGAGATGAAAACCATCATTAGTATAAGTTTTTTTTTTTTTGGTCAGAATCATTCGTATATTGACTGAACAAGAGCTGTAATTCGAGCAGAAATGAATCAGATCCTGTTAAAGTAACTCCATAGTTTGGCCTTCCTCATGGCACACGGTGCAGTCTTGACTTTAGGTTCGCTGCGTCTAACAGTATCAAAGATTCCTAACAAGCTAGTAAAATGTTTGAGCTGTATCAAAACCAAAAGGTAAAGAAACCATTTGCATATCGGTACGTTTTTTAAACATTCAAAGTTGGAATGCATATATAACACGGTACACAAACCCGAAGGCCATTTTATTCATAATCACCTATAATAAAGAGGACACCATTGCAGAAAATGTTAAAGAGCCATTGGTAGTCGGGAGTGACAGAAAGCCATATAATTTATAACAAGTCATTCCACAAAATCTCAAGCTTCCCATGCTTCTGTCACCTGTGCTCCTAAATATTTCAATTTTCGAATGACAAGATGGCCATCTCCATCATGGGAACATTTCCGCAGGCAAAAGCACAGAAAAGATTGGTAGGACTCGAACGATGTTGATGAATGATTAATTCCTTGAAATCGTTTAGACGTGAATGAGTATGCGGTTTAGTATATCTGAGAATGTCTCCACGTCTCTGCCCCACAACCTGATCAAGAAAACAATTGATGAATTCGCTAATCCATAAGCATTTATTTCATCGGTACATAAAATAAAACTGCTAACAAAGGGATAGAAAATGTTAGAGAACGATGGGTGACATAATCTTGTATTAAGTAACAGAAGGCTCACCAGCAGTCGATCCCCACAACAGCAGCACCGTGTTTGTCAGCCTTTTCATCATCCCCAATATGTACCGCTCTATTAGGTTCCACTCGAAGTTGATCTGAAAGATCATCGGGCATTATAAGGATTCCAGATGCACACCTTCTGATACCGTCGTAAGACAGAATTATTCGAGCATATACAATGCCTACGAGTTTCATGAAAGCCTAACTTCCAAGAGATTCATACAGAAAGTTGCAGAACACACATGTAGTATGGAGTAAGTACAGTTGATTAAATGACAGTAACAAAATTTCAATCTTTAAATCTATACTGCTTTTAGTACATGCAAGTTTTCATATATCCCTACGCCCAAAAGGGGTCGCCACTACCACTTGTCCCTCCCCGCCTTTCTAGATTAGCAAAAAAAACCAGGACATTCATACCCAAAAAAAGGTCTGTAGCATAGATTTAATGCTTGTATGAGTCCTACAGAAACGAAGAAGAATAGACCCCCCCGTCCATCCACACCAGAATATGGCAATCCTTGACATCCTCGAGAAGATAACATCACATGATTCAATTTTCAATTTAGACTTTTTTCTTTCGGAATAATATCATGCCAAGCAGTAGTCTGAAACCAAAAGGCAAAGAACCCAAACAAAACTAAGAGTACGAGCAGAATCATCATACTCAATACTGTCGCGCTGGCATAGTACTGCCAATGGAGCGGGGACTCTATGCAATTCATGCTGAACTGATATTCACAATGTCACTTTATAAGGCCAAAAGCAAAACAAAAGTAAAGATTTCCCTGCTGTTCAATAACATATTCAATTGCTTTAATCTCATTTTAGATAATAACTATGCTGAACTAAGACGTAATGTGATGGCAAGAAAAGGTCATACTGCAAAGTAGATTACTGAAACTGTCCAGCTAAGACTTGTGTGTGCTGTTTAAAGGTCAACAATAAAGAGGGAAACAGAAGATTAAGTAACTGTTACTCGAGATTATGAATTGTTGCTTTCATAATTTCACTAGAAATTTCAGAATGAAAACACTCCAACTAGATACATACCTAGAGCAGCTTTGAATATTCCAGGATCTGGCTTCTCATATCCAACTTCTGAGGATACAATTACAGCATCGAACCTGAAGCATCATCAACCAAATAAATGCTTACAGCAGTGCATAACCTAGTCTTAAGGACCACCCTGGTTAAATAAGTGGCTGCAAAATCAGGAGATGAACAATGTTAAATAAGCAATTGCTCACAGATCCACAATGTTTAAGTCCTTCAATAGCTTCCTCAGCCGGATGTCAAAGTTGGACACAACAGCCAACTTAACTGTAATTCCACTGACCACATTAGTGAAAGAGGCTGCAACAAATCCTGGCTAACGGTTCTTATCTTAGCAGAAGATGGAGAAGAATACTTGATGAATATGACCTCCGGCATCTTTCAGAATACTCATTGTCTCATAAGCTCCAGCAGGAAGGCGCCATGCATTACCGTCTGCATAGTACTGCGAAGCAAGTTCATTTAGATAACTCGCCCACAAGGACCAAACTTCAATATGCAAAAGAAGGTAATTCGCACACAAGGTGAAAGCTATTTAATCTACGTAGAAATCTTTCTGGTATTCCTTTCAAAAGTGAGTCAACCGGTTGTTGCCGGCAACATAATTTGAGAGTAAGCCAACCCTTTCTTGCTCAAAACAAATACAATGTGGCGTGGGTGGGCTCCATCGTTTGTCTTTCTAATATCTATTGCAGATGCTAAGAAAGAAGGGAAAGAAAAAAGAAAACATGCCGGACATTCTTGTCTCTAAAAACTTTACCTGGTAAACTTCTTCAAAATAGTCGTGATCTGCACAACCGGTAGCTTCCGACACGACAAGTCTCCAGAAGGGCCTCCCATCTCCCTGACAAACAGAACAAAATCAGTAAGTGAGAATGTATATATACACACAAGTACGAAGAAGGGTTCTCTTGGAGCAAGAGCATGTTAGAGAACCTGGGCAAAAGGAGAAAACAAATTCAAATGCACAGCTCATCGGAAAACATAACTACATGTACACCTGGTAACGAAGCTTCTCCGGCCAGGGAGCGGAAAACGCCCTCTTGAATCCTCGTTTGATATCGGCAGGCGTCGCAGTAAGACCTGCGAAGCGAACATAATCATACGCATTCTTACCTAAAAACTGAAGACTACAATTAAGCACAATCTGCCGACATTCCTAAAAACCCGAGAGAAACATTTCGCCGGACATTATCGGAAATTCAGCACACGAACGCGCGCGCCCGCGGCAAGCCACGCACGTAATCATCAGCGAGGGAAAGGAAAAGACGAGAGCGCGAGCCGGCGAGGACGACGAAGCCGAGAGGAAACCGACCGTATTTGGCTCCGATGGAGGCGTACGTCTCCTCCACCGGCTTCGCCAGCTGGAGCAGAGTGCCGCCGGCGTCGAGCAGCAGCGCGTCGTACGCTCTCCCCGCATCCCTTCCGGTCCCTGCGTCCAAAACAAGCCGCGTGAAATCGCGAAGGAGGGGAAAAGATGGAATCAAGCGCGGGGGGCGATCGAGATCGGAATCGCGACCGACGGAAGCGGAGATCGAGAGGACCGGGACCTGAATGGAGGAGCGCGGAAGGGAAGCGGACGCGCCGCCCGGAGCGACGGAGAGCGAGGCTGCGCCGAGCGGTGAAGTGGAGGAGGTTGGATCCGGTGAACTTCGCCAAGCGAGCTTCCATGCTTCTCTCTCTCTCTCTCTCTCTCTCTCGTAGTTCATGTTAAGATTTTTACGGGAAAGATTTTTTTTTTTTTTCCTTAAAAATCTTAACATAAACCTTAAAAGCTCGCTTGCCCTCTTCCCTTATTCGGCTGTTCCCTCTCTCACGCTCGCTCTTTCCCTCTCGACTCTTTGCACCTCTTTAGCAAATCACAAACCCTAATCGCGGAATGATAATCCTAAAACCCTAATCACAATGGCGCGACGCGGTGATGAGTCGGTCGGAGCGACTCGAGTGGCCGATAAGCTCTCAGCGGCTCCTCGAGCTTCTGGGTGATGGCATGGTTTTGCCAATGGGACTCTCGGATTTGCTAGATGCGCCCGGACAGCAACTCGAGTATGCGTTGATATGCTAGTCAGCCTACAAGACAGATCGAAAAAAATTCAATTGCCACTATTGGGGCTTGTAGGAGCAGAGCTGGAGGTGTCGATGCAAGGCTCAAGTAACAACAGCGACATCATCGAGGGGCTACGAATCACATCGGTGCATAGAATGGAGTAGCTTGTTGTCGCTGTTGTCCTTGGATGGACTCATGGCACGGATCCTCAATCGGCGACGACAAGGGCTGGTAATTAGTTATGAATCCACCGGTTTCATTAGACCAATCGAGAATCTGACCGGACCAGTCCCAAGACTAGGTGGTCCGATTCTCAGTTCCAAAAAATAGGGAACCGGTCCTCCTTATCCAGTTCCTATTTCCAAGGTGGGAACCGGACCGCCCAGGAATTGATCACCCTCACTTGATAGTGAGATCGGGGTTGGGTTAAATCGCAAATGTGAGGAGGCCCGTCCAGTACGGGCCAATGGCGGTGGGCTTCGGCCCATATCGTTACCCTGTTACAAAGCTCGTGACACGGGCCCGACCCATTCGATCTCGAACTCATTTTTCAGCCGTCGGATCTAAATCGCCGCGAAACGCCCCCCGTCCGCCCCGTCTCTCTCCAAACCCAAAAACCCAAACCCTAGGAGGCTATCCTCTTCTCTCTCTCTCTGCGCTAAAAGGAGGAAGCCGAGCTCGGCGAACGAGAGGAAAACCCTAGAGAGACAAGGGGGAGAGAGAGAGAGAGAGAGAAGCGGGGAGCAATGGTGCAGCGTCTCACGTACAGGAAGCGGCACAGCTACGCCACCAAGTCCAACCAGCACCGGGTCGTCAAAACCCCCGGTATTTCTTCCTCCATCCCTTCTTTCTTCTTCTTCTTCTTCTTGTTGTCGTGCTGAGATTTGATTCGTTAGTGGAGGATTTTTGGTGTTCGGAGCGTGGGTTTGAGTTTGAGTTTGTGTGGGTTTTGGTTTCTGGTGCTGCAGGCGGGAAGCTAGTGTACCAGACCACCAAGAAGAGAGCCAGCGGCCCCAAATGTCCCGTCACTGGCAAGAGGATTCAAGGGGTACGCTTTCTGATTGATTCGGGTTTTGTTGAGATTAGCGGGCATCTATGTGATGTGGAGATGTGGTGTTGTTGTGCTTTTACGTGCATGATGCTATTGGATAATTGGGTCCGCCTGCAGTCACTGTTGAATCGAGTTCGTGCTTTCGCGAGGTGTTTCTTTCTCTACTTTTGCCGAGGCGCGCAAGAGTTACGGCGACGATATCGTTGCTGCTTGAGGCCATTGATTGATGGCGAATGGGAGAAATTTCTTCTTGAAGCTGTATTTGATTGCTAATGGGGTTTGATATTGAGAGAATTGTATGTAATGGGATGAAGCGTCAAGCGTGCTGATTATACGCACTCGACATTGCTCGCTGTGGCATGTTGTCTGGTGATTGTTTACCGATCGATCGTGAGTTCCGTGGGTGATTAAATAAGTTGAGCTAGAACGATTTGAGAAGATTTCAGTGCCGATATGCGAAGTGTTTTCTGATCCCCCAGCTAAGAATTCTGGTGCAATATATATCAATTTGGTACCTTTAGGGAAAGTAACATTGCTGGAAATAATTTGCAGCCACGAGTATTTTGTGTTTTTGCTGATTGTAGTATCCATCGGTTTGTTACAATAGTATTGCTTTTCCTTTCTCACTTAAATGGCCAAGTCCAACTTTAATCGAATTGCTAGTTAAGGATGACTTGCATGTCTGACCAAACTCTTGGGAGTTGGAAGTGATCTACTGTTAAGTGAACCTAAATTTTGATCTCTCTTGTAGGTCCATTGACCGGTTTCCTATGTCGGATTGCCAGTAATAAATAGGGTTGGTTCGAGGGAGAACAGTAAATAGGTTTTCTGAGACAGTCCTATTTGTCATATTAGTAATGTGGTCTAGATGTCATTTGTTAACTTCCTGACCACTTGAAATGTGTGCTGTTGTCATCTAGCTGGCCTCACGAAGGCTTCTTTTAAGTTGTTGGAGGATTTTTTGTTTTTTTTACCCTCAGCTGAAGGGGTGGTACAAATTGAGGGAGTGTGAAGGATGATATCCAAGATATTCAATTCTCTTCACTTTACTCGCATCTGTCAGAGTCTTAACTTCTCGCTCGCTCGCTTTGAACTTTAAAGTCTTATGTTGGTAAATGATGTAGATGGTTGTGCAGTAGTCTTCATTTACTTGTGAAGTACATTATGAAGTGCATCAGCATGATACATCCTGTTTTATGTGCAGATTCCTCATTTGAGACCTGCTGAATACAAGAGGTCAAGACTCTCAAGAAATCGCCGAACTGTGAACCGTGCATATGGTGGAGTATTGTCTGGAGGAGCTGTGCGTGAGAGGTCTGTCTTTTTCACCATGTCTAGTGGATATTATGGTCGATTTTTTTTCCATGCTATGCTTAGGTAAGCACATACTGATTATAATTTGTTACGTAGGATCATTCGTGCCTTTTTGGTGGAAGAGCAAAAGATCGTGAAGAAGGTTTTGAAGATTCAGAAGGCGAAGGAAAAGCTAGCCTCTAAGAGCTGAGATTGTTATACCACAGTGCTTTTGGCACTTTGAGAGTAATTTTGGCGTTTGAATTCGTGACAGTAATGAGTTGTTGGACTTGAATTTGCCTTTTCTTAGGCTGGTTGAAACATATATCTACCGCTCCTTTCATCACTTTTTCAACAAGTCTTGACAATTTTGTGTTTCCATTTAAATGGTTGCTGATGGTAGTGAGAACATCATTTTCCTTGTTTGGCATGTAATATCAGGTCAGCCTGCGACATGTTTGTAGTGTTCGAGTTTGGATGTTGCGAAGGTATCTCTGGGGCTATTCTGTTCGTCGTCTACACTAATATCGGATGACAAACGTCCCAAAATGCAGTAGAAGTTGGGTGAGCATGCTGAATCTTCGATATTAGAGGAAGCAATCTCTAAAGATTTAGTTAAAGCAAAGATTCAATATCGATGTTTTGCATTAGGGGTGAGCAGTTTTAGGTTCCTTACAGGTTCCATATGAAACTTGGAACCTATCATCGGGTATAGGTTCCTCATTTTTTGAAACCTGGAACCTACCTGTCAGAAGCTGGAACCTGAAACCTATCCTGTCACAGGTTCCAAAGTAGGTTTTAGGGTATAATAAGTTTTTTATTTTTTTTATTTCATCAAATCGAAAATGAACGCAACAATATTGAATAAATTTGTCATTCATCAAAGAGAATACAAAAAAGACTAGTATTTATAACATTACAGTTCAAATAAATATAGCTAAAATGAGAAGTCATTACGTAAATCAATACTAGGGGTGAGCAATTTCATGTTCCGTATAGGTTCCTCATTTTTTGGAATTTGAAACCTATCCTATCAAGGTTAGAGGGTCGATTTCAGAGTCTACTCAGGTTCCACCTGTATTATTAATTGAATAATTGTAATGGATAATCACTTTTAATGACCATCACTTATTGTTATGATTAACTGGCTCTATTCAGGTTTCACCTGTATTATTAATTGAACAATTGTAATGGATAATCACCTTTAATGATCATCACTTATTGCTATGATTAACTAACCACAACTTATATTTAGACACACGAAGAATATGAAATATTAACAAGTCATAAAATAAGAGCTCAGACTAGTGGTTTTAGATTATATATTCATCATCTAACACCATGAAACACAATAGGATCACGCAAAGATATAGACAAAAAAAAAAAACACAAAAAACTTATTTATGTTTCAGGTTACAAGTTCGAGGTTCCAAATTTCACTTACTTAGAATCTACTCGTCAAAACATGTTCTCCAATTTTTGAAACTTGCAACATACTCTGTATACCTTAGAATCTGGAACCTACAAGTTCCCACTGATTAGATTTTCAGATTCCAAGGTAGAACCTAGAATCATGCTCACCCCTGTTTTGCATGCACGACTCTCTCATGGATATTTTGTAAGAGCACTGTGGAAACATTCTTGCCACTGGCGCACGTAATAATCCTGTTATGGTTCTGAAAAGAAATTTTCCACTTGGATGAAAGCGTGGAAGCCGGATCAAGAGAAATCGGATCAGAAAAGCGCGCGTAATTACCTTCATCTCTCATGTATGATCATTTTTGACAATTTCATTGTAGCATCTCCTTGGTATATATCCACGTTGACTTTTTTTTGTCAGTCAACTGGATGTTACTCGTTACATCTTGTTCCATTCATTCTATTTCTGTCGGAAGTAGATCAATCTAGATCCTATTGAAGATCTAGAATTTGAAAACAAATGCATGTACCCGGCAGAGGCCTTTGAGAAGCATGCTCATCTGCTTTGCCGGCGCACCCTTGGTGACGACTCTGGTGCAAATTTGTCGTCAGGTGTGAAAAACAAAAGTGAATTTCCGAATTCCGCTTGCCCCAAGTGATCAAACCATTTGATAGCCGATCCGCATTACACTTTCTTAAGCCTCTTCTCTCGACTCTTTGACCATGATTTTTCACCTGGATCGAGCAGTTCTCCCTATTTTCATCGAGATTTTCCTCTTCCAATATGACGACATCTTTTCTTTCTATAGCAATTTCTTCTAGCCGTTTGGGCCAAAAAAAAATATGCTTCTAATTGTATGGTATAAAAGTGGCTAAACCAAAGGAAGATCCTTCTTACTCATAAGGTCGAAAGAACTGCGAATCAAGAGCCAGGGATCAAAACTAAAGGATAAAATTTCATATGCCGGCTGAAGTTCACTGCTCCACAGAATATAGGCACAAACCTTGTCTCTCTGCCTTAACACCAAAAAAGAATGACAAAATTCGACAATAGAAAGGCAACCTTATCGAGACAGTTTAGTCTTCTACTTGCCGAGGGAGAGACAAGAAGCTGAATTAAAATGAGCTTTCCCTCTCCAGTAAATAGAAGAAAAAGTAAAAAGTCATCCTGTTCACTTCAAAGTGCAGGCATTTCATCTAATCAGCGAACCGAGTCTTATGATGGTTCATAACTAAACCCTCCTTGAACGGGAGATTCACTCTCGAGTCACCTAGCCTTGCTCACTCTCAACAGCTTACATACAGCAATCAATACATTTGAGCTGAGCAAGTGAACGAGGTCCACTTATTTCCTCCTGTCTGAAGATCAACCGAGAGCACTTCACGTAGATCTGACTACAAGGATCTAATTTCCTGCAGAAACTGTTCAAGCATCACCACCTGCAGGCAAGAACAGATCAAGTAAACTTTGCTAGGAATCTTTGCTTCCGCAACCCCATTCTACCCTTTTTTTAACTCCTTCAATTTCTGTCATTTCATTGGATGTCCTTGCTACTTTTTTACAAAGTTGACAGAGATTAATTGTTTGAAAGAATTGCCAGCTATACAGGAAATGAACCAGTTTTAGCATTTGATTGGTGAAAGAAAGATGATTTCTGAATTACACAATTGACTAGGCAGCAAATCGACCAGGGGCTAAAAAAAGCCAAAGCTAATGCAGATCCAGGAACTTAATGAACAATTACCATAAAATCATATACTCAACTCACCAGACAAGAATTTGGAGATCCCTTGGTGAACCAACATATTGACTTTGAAATCCATTCCCAATTGATGATTCACTCTAGAATGATGAGTTTATCTTCATCCAACCACAAATTCAAAATAGGGCGATGAGCCGGATATCATTTGGTGGAACCTGCCATTACAAACCAGACAGATTTACTTTTAAAACCCAGAACAGCTCTATTATAAGAAAGTATACTAACATTGGTCCGACTCCAATGTTTATTAACGCAAATTTGACAACTAATTTTCTATTGCAATTCCAACAGAGTGCTAGGGTGCATGCATAGATCCATGAACATTTTAATTTCAATGAAATTCTGGGACCTTAACAAAGTCATATACTCTGAAGGTGGAAGGACAACAATATCAGGTTTGCATTAGTCAGATCTACCTTACCAGGTAGAAACACCAGGGAAACTCAAGGTGATGCTGGAACAGGAAGCTCCCTGTGATGGAATAGCTTTACTATCGCTCTGCGCTCACAATCCTGTAGAAAAGATATTTAGTAATAATATTAAACTAGTCCAATTTATTATGTGCATGAGTTCCAATTGATACAATAGTCGACATGTGGTGGAACTTTGGGCTGATTATGCCATTAAACAGGACAACTATGTTCCACAAAATTCCTCACCATCCTGTACCTACCATTGACCCCTAAACACTGTCTGCTCATTGATGCAATTATAGATCAAGAGAAATTCCACCAAAAAAAAAAATCAAGAGAAAAGGAAGCCCTACACACAGACACGCTGTATATCGCCATATAGCTTTTTGTCACTTCATGTGTGAAGCAGAACCAAGAACAGTCGCTGGAACCAGTGTACTGGTTACATCAACTCAATGTTGTATGAGGGTGCCCTAGTAGGATTAAGACGGATTTAGGAAGTCACTATCGGCATTAAAATGAATTTAGTCTCTACCAAATTGCCAGGCTCAAAAAGTTTCACAGCCCCAGGAAATACCAAGGTGCTCTACAGCTCCCACAGAGGGTCAAGAAGCTGCGTATCTACAATTCTGGATATAAGTGTCATTTAAGGACAATAGAGCCATGACTTATTATTTCCTCAAGTCAGTGGGAGATCTCGGAAGTAGCCTCATTTCAGCTTGCAATGTTTTCCAACAGTAATGAACAGAAGCATTGCTGTTAATCATGTGTATCACAAGACACCATTCATCTGATAAAGAAGGGATTTTAAGCTCCAATCACTAGTGTTAGGGGAGAGGATGCACTGAAACAATCGTATCAAAATATATGCTTGAAAAAAAGAAGAGAAAGGTATAATCTCGAATTGCTAGCCATATACTACTTCCAAGTACATAATGGCAACTCAGATAAGTGCACAGGAATAAGAGAAGACATGCATCACCTTGAACATACGTAAATAGAACTGTCTGTCGGGATTTAATCTTCTCAATTTGAGGTAAGTGTATGCAAAGCTTAGTTGATCACGTGACGTGAATCGATCGACCTCATTGAACCAAAGACATGAAAATAAGTTTGACATTGGTGTATGGGCCCGCACAATGAAGGAGCCTTCAGGCACATCTGTAAAACAAAGATGTAATTATCGTTAGAATCAAGGGAAATGGTGGATGCAAATGTCCAAAAGGGAAAACTGCAATTGCACGCACAACTAGGAAGAGGAGTATTTGGGTCAGTGGGATCAAACTTGGTGAGGCCATCAGACTGGTAAAACAGAAACTGCTCATCAATGGCTGTGTGATTGTACTTGTTTAGGCGTTTGTTTTGGAATACCTCCTCCCAGACACAGTGACGATCATAGTGGTTTGAAATGGCATACTCTGACTTTGTCCGCCACAAAAAGTACTCGATGATAAGCATTGGATCAGTATTCAGACGCATTTTGCTGTCAAGCCATATCGAATACCTAGTGAAAAGAAAGAAGAAATTACAAGGTCGCGATTTAGAAGAACCCATAGATGCCTCCAGCTGAGAGCGCTTGAATATATAAACTATATTACCTGGAAGAAGGGAAAAGCCGATGAGGAAGGAGTTTGGGCACTTTTCCAGTTCGACGCATGTCTTTGTATGGTAAGTTCTTGACGACAATTATTTTCCATAGCCCAATATGACCTCTATCATCAGGAATATTACCTTCTGATGACAGAGTTGATAGTGTCTCCTTATCCACAAACATAACAAAGCAGACATTTTTCTTGGAATACTCAGTGATCTGCAGTATATGTGTGCGGTACATAAGATCACTCGGTAGATAGCAAGCATCTTAGATTTGCCTAGATACTTTCTTTAAAAATCTCAGATAGTTAAAATATATTGGCGATGCCAAATGGAATTATTGTTAAGCGTGCAAGTATCTATTTGCCTTAGAGATCCAAAGTTTGCACAACTCAGGCCCTAGACCTGAATATATTTCACAATTTCTGGCGAACAGCTTCCATTCGTAGATTGAGACCTCAACATTGTGCTATGACTGAATTTGCCAGAACAGGAGATAGCAACTAGAATGCAAATGTTTCATGGGAAAAGATCCCAAGTAATATTGTCAAATTTGTCTGAAACGCAAGAACTTCCACATCAGGTAGGACATTACATAAACTGAAAATATTGGATGAGGAATCCTGCCTATGCCTCATTCAATCAATGTTGACATTTACTTAAAGGTAAACTTGAAAGAACACCACTGATCATTTAAATTTTGCAGATTTAGATATTAACTCCAAACTTAAAGAACCACTAATTACAACAGAATGTCTTAACTAAAGTCGTAAATAAGTTTTGCTTTCTAGTATGTGGCAATAGAGAATCGATCAAGTATATGTACCCGCTTGCTTGTTGGCCGCCTCAGAAAATCAGAACTTCCAAAAATGCAAGAAGACACTACAACTTTACATGTATTCATATATATCTTGTCCTTTTCATCCAAATCAAATCCAGTGCTCGGGAATCTTGCTGGCCCCTTGACAAAACCACAATGAAGTTTTTGGCTTCTTGCATGAAAGGATGTCTCTCTTTCACCAAGGGTCTGATGTCCGCCAAATCTAGGGATGGAAAAACTATTTTCCTCCTTTTCAATGTAATGCAGTGAAAACTGCGTGAAATTCATGAAACTGCTGGGTTCAACTATATTGTCGACTGAGTCTGATAAAGTTATTTCACAAGGAAGATCTGAAATATCAACATAGAAAAGATGAAGGTATAAAAACAAAGTACACAGAATAAGCATGTGACAGGAAAATGAAGAAGCAATGTTCGTCTTTGCACAGGTTCAAATACAGTGCAACATTTAAATGAAGGCAGCTAACAAGCATCAAATCAAACTTAAGCTTGAAAAGTTTACAAGACTCAATCCATGATGTCAATAAAAGTGCAAAACTTCCAAAGCTGCTGAGAGTGAATCCATAGATATCAAAAGGTATTTGTTTGAGTATCTTCTGCTTTACTTAGAACAAGCAAGGGCACAGTTTAGTTTAATATGTCTGCTAACACAAGACGACGCATCGCGTCCGTTACCTAATCATGTAAAGGCCGAAGTAAGGCCTGAAATAGAGGATTAAGCAATGCGAGCAATTTACTTACGCCGCTTGCGATGCTTGGTTGTTGGTTTTTTTCCAACATCAGACCCTATGTTTGCTTCTTTTACTGCGTCTGCTTCTTTTACCGCGTCTGCTTCTTTTACTGCGTCTGCTACTTTTACTTCATAAGCAGATGAAGTTCTGCCTTCCATCTTTCCTGCATTGCGTGCCGTACTAAAGTCAAGGAAGTAATATGGACAAGAAAACAAGAAAAGCAACACCTATCACCCACCCCCCTCTTTGACCAGGAAGTGTATACGTTGTCTAATCAAATGCTGGCGGATTATGACTATAGGGGAGAGAGGATCTTATTCAGCAATAGTGAAGAATGAAGTTGATAAAGATGAGTTCTCTTGCAAACTCTACAAGCATAGCAATGGGAACAATAGCGACTATGGAAGACAATTTTAAAGTACCTACAGTAACTACAAGAGGAGTTTCATAGTTACAGACAAAGCTGCCTCATGAAACTACTTTTCGAAACACATCAACCATGAAAAGTCTCTCCAAGGTAAATCGCAAGGTTAGCCCACTGATTGGAGAAGAAACATTGGCACTTCGGTATGAATACGATGGAAAGCACATGAGTTGGAAAACGAGAATATATGAATTACAATGTGCATGAACCCCTTGTTGCCGATTACTAAATCCACTCCTCCCCCAAGAGAAAAAGGAAAACCCAACATCAAAAGGAACAAAAAGAAAGAACGAGCATGCTAGGTGTTCTATGCACTGACAAATGCCATGAGCACAAGCGTTCTTATGCGTAGATTGGTGCTCGCAAAATAACAAAGCTTGAAGCTAAACCAACTACAATCAAACCAATCTGTCGCCAACATAGATTCAACGAATGAAACAGAGTTACATCATCAGAAACTCCGGTGCAAATGTCTCACCGTGCAGGAACATGTTCAGGCCGAAAGCCACCAAGCAAAACAGGAAGATAGCGGCCAGCAGGAACGCCAAGCGCGAGAATCTCTGCTTGTAAGTCCTCCTCCCTCGACGGGCGGCTCGAAGCCCATCCCTGCCTCGCCTCAACGAACGCAGGAACGCCCCAATCACGCCCCTTCTCTCGATAAACATCTCATCACCGTGCTTATCCAGACCCATTTTCGCAAACCCTCTCCCCCAATCACGACACCGAACCTATCTCTTTCTCCCTCGCGGTTTCAGCAAATCGCAACTCCTCCTCCGTTCGGCTAACGGCTAGCTCATCGCCGTCTCCGTTCGCAGCCATTGTCCCTAACCTGCCGAATCCCGCTCGCAAGCCGTCGCGTCCCCCATCAGAATTCAGCAACGGGCGTCAGCCCTTGGGATTCACCGTTTCCGGCCTCCGCGCACCTCGATTCTTAGCTCAAATCGCCGAGCGCGTGGGAGTCGAGCTTCTTTTGCCCGGCCGACTCGCGCAAATGCAGATGACGAGCGCGAAATCGACAGCATCCGAGCCGATCGTGCGATTCCCGGTCGCCGGCGACGAGGATCGCCGGAGCTCGATAGATCTCGCGAGCCGGGCGTTCCGGGGCGGGAAAAGCGATTTGGATCCGAAATGGTTCGATTTCCTTTTCCTCTTTTGCTTATGGATTTCGTTCTTCTCTCGGTGGGTTTCCTCCTTTGCCGTTTCTGGCAACTGATGTGGGGAAGTGTTCAAATCTGAGCAACCTTTTTAGCGTTCCGCAACATGAAAAGCGTTCCTAGCGAGCACCCTTTCCTTCCACCTTCCCAAGGACGCGTGGGTCATGCACGATCGTGAGTCTTCCATTGCGCTCCCCATCTAAAGTGATCTTACGGATCGACAACTCCTTGACCGCGAAATAGGCCGCGTGGCGCATGATAAGCTGACACGTCAGGCCAGCCTTCCTTCTAAAAATTACTCCCAAAAATAATATCACAAATCGCACCATTATATCAAATCTTATCACTTCTAATTTAATTCGGGCAAATCGTACCACTCTCAGTTTAGTTTGGGCATCTAGTATTTCAAGCGGGACATACAAAATACTTCGGTACAATCACTGATTTCGATCTGCCATGACCTTATAAGCAGAGCGACATTAACTCTAGACCAGTTTGTGTGCGGGATGCCTATCTCTTCTTTAGAGATCCTCTAACGCCACTCCTACATACCAGTTGTATCATCTCTGTTGCATCAGTTAATTTACACCCCGATGTCACAAAGCTCAACTTTTTAGCTCACAGGGGTACGTGAGAATTTGGTCCGTGATATTCTCCCCTATTCAATTTCACAATGCTCTCGTTACGGACTGCTCTATTGCTTCCTTGCCTTCCGCAACCACCAATTCCACTCCCTCAAGACTTGCGTGAATGGCAAACGCTCTCCCAACATAACAAGCCAGCATGCTCCATCGCTAGCTTCCCTTGATCAAATATGTTCGTGAATCTCCAATCACTTGTGCTCTCCCTGACAAGTGTGGCGTCCTAAACCAACCGCACTTTCTTGGCAGCACCTTCTTTCGCCTAGAAGGCTTCTCGCAATCTCAGCAGATTGAGGTTTCTTTCCTTGTTGGAAACGTGGTAACGGACATCCTCGTGAGATTCACCCATTGATCCAAGAATGTTTTTCATATTCGGTGATGTCCGAACCCTTTTAGCCCGGCGATCACTCCTGCCCTCGTTGGTCCAGGTACACAGGCTTTCCCCTAATCACCCACCTATAAGAGGAGTCCTATTCTAATACCACTTATCACGGGCATTGGCTGCGGAATAGCCCATGCGGCAGTTGATGAACCAAGTATACCAAGCCGACCTTCCTTCTAAAGATTATTAATAGCATTCTTGTATCGAATTTTACTATGCCCCGTTTAGCTCGGGCATGCAGTCCCTCGAGCAAGACATACATAACACTTTAGTACAATTACTTGTCTCGTCATGCTACGATCTCATTAGGAAAGCAGCATCAGCTCATAACTAGTTTGTGAACAGAGGCTAACCTCGCCTTCAAAGATCCTCTAAAATGATATTCATTCTACTCAAGGGCTCTTAACACAAATATCCCGACGCCACTCCTATAAACCAGTTGTATCATCCCGTCTACATCGGTCTTTCTTCACTCTGATACCACAAAACTCCAGTCTTAGCTCACAAGGGCATGAGAGAATTTGGTCTGCGACATTAGGCTGCTTCGCACGGGTGTGTTTGGCTCGGCCAGATGATGAACATGTTTTAAGTTAATTGTGCGTCAAGCGCTTAAGCGGAGTTTGCGGTCACTCGCTCCTTGGCTTTAGCCCCAAAAGGAGGCCTTCCTCACCTTCTGCCTAAGCTGCGCAAGCCTATGGCCCACAACTCAAAATGAGCCTTGCGATGATGTTTCTGTCTTTGTTTGCTTACCTCCTAAAAATGAGAGGTGAGAGGCCGATTTACACCGGCTGCTGAACTCGGACTTGAAACTCTTACTAGGGCTGCTCTTGTGGTGCCTGAAGTTCTGCAACTTGTATTCCATCGTAATATGATTGGTAGTTCAAGAAGATGCTCGAATCCTGACTCACGAGTCTTGCTAGAAGAGGTTTCAAGTAGATGATAATGAAAAAGGGCGAGCATCTAGCTATGTACAGATTTTTCCTCTTTCGCAAATGTGGTAATGTACTTTGGCATAAATGTGATTTGAACCCTAAAGAGAAACAAAAAATCCCTTACGGTATGTTAGATTTGAGACCTATAAATAGGCCATGGATTGTAATATCGTAGTTAAAAATACGGAGATAGAGAATATTGTGACATCCTTCGATTGACTCCCTCGAGGTATTGTTTACTTTGGCCCATCTCATATTGAGTTTTACGGTTTGTCCTTTGATGTGCAGATAGATACTTTTTCAAGAGGTCACCCATCTAGTAGTATTTTAGTCTAAGCATGCTTAAAGCTTGCCATTATGTCAAAAGGTGTCTCAGTACATACATATATCCCAGGCACGCTCTCCTTATGTTTGGCGTGCAACTCAATTCATTCTTGCTCTCTTACCATCCTAGAAACTTGTTACGATCCGCTTACTGTTTGAACCCCTGGCCCCAATGATCACCCCTCGCTCTCGTCAGATCTGGTCGTTATAGGCCCACAAGCTTTCATATGGTTTGTCTCCGAATCACGCACCAACTGGAGGGGTTCCGCTCTAATACCAACAAATGTCACTCCCCAAATCCTACATGAAATATGAGTAATGACACGGCCATCTTTAGGCCATGGATTGTAATATCGAAGTTAAGCAATCGAGATATTTTATCTTTATCTCCATATTTTTAACTGGTATCGAAGCAAGGTGTTTCCAAATAGAATTGTCCTCTGGTGCACCAGGTGCACACGCCCGTTCACACACATACATTTACTGTCGTGGAATCGCTTTCTTCCCCTAAACGCCGATAAGGTCCTTCACAAAGGGCCTTGCCGCATGCTGTATCTACCTTTTATCTTATCAATACAGGGAGAGATGATCGGAAGCGAGCCTCGTTTGCTTTTCTGTGACAGTGTCATTGCATCTCGATGTCACCTACTCACAAAGCTAATTTCAAACAGTACTGGCTTTCCAAGGTGTCGTGGCACCCATCTATCCGATGAGCTTTGCAAACCAACTTCAGTTCGAGGGGACGTGTAAAACATATCGCCTAAGCATAATTGCAAACCACCAATACATAGCCCAACAATTCAGCTCCAAAAATGGTTAGATGACCTTTGCGGCCACGTTGAAACCAGAGCTGTAAGATAGCAGCAGTAGCTTTCACAGCAATTAAAAGCTTTGTTTGGTACGGTTTTGTTGTAACGAACGACCATAGCTTTGAAAAAGAGGTGGTGACTTTTGTAACGTGTTTGATGAACTCGCTGCGGCTACAGTGCCTCCAAAGTTGCAATAACCCATAGAATTTCTCGGAATATCGCCTCGTTTCACATTTCTAGGTGCTGGAACTTTAAAACATGCACCGCCGAACACATACAAGCTACGACATCTTATGGCAATACCACATCAAAGCACAACACAGCCACATCTACCCCGAACAAATTTGTCGCTCCCACTTCTCCACCTATATTCAATACTCTTTCGACATCTTTTTCGAATGGACACTCAGGACATGCTTATTTGAGCGAAAGAATTTTCCGAGAATTAGTTTTCTAGATTTTCACGCGTTTGGTTTGTTGGAAACGATCAGTCAACGAAGAACTATTTACTATCAAAGAAAACATGCACGCTTAAAGTCAGTAAAATAAATCCCATGACCTGAAAAAATGGAAAAACATTTTCTTTTATCATGAAATTTTTCTCATAATGGACACATTTGTTCAAATCACGGAAAATGTAAGAAAGTACTTTTTTATACTTTCTAGTCAAAACTTAAAAATAGCATTCGAATTTCAAAAATTACAAAAGTAACTATAAGTGATACTACGTGCCCATATTTGATTGGCTTGAGAGTTTCGAAAGTTTTTTCTTATGAGAAAAAGTCAAAGTTTGCGAATGACATAACTCATCCGATTTGAACGGGCGTACCATTATCTTTCCCTATTCCAATAGCTATACAATTTAAGAATTCAAAAAATCGTGATTTTTCGTTAATCAAATACGAACCCCAAGCTTTCACCGGTCGCTCCTTGTCATTATCCCAATAATTTTCGTGAACGGTCATTGTTTACCGGAAAATACAGAAAAAGGAAGAATTTCAATAAAATAATTTCCTTTTTTTCCCTCCTCCCCTTTTTGGGCCGTCACAAATTTCATTTCCCTGGCGCCACTCCAGTTTTAGTTCCCCCGGGAAAAAAAAGTTCTTCAACGCGCCAATCGTTAAAAAAAAAAAATTAAAAATTAAAAAAAGGGAAAAAAAAGAAGAGAGAGAGAGAGAGAGAGCAGGAACAGCGCGAACTCAAAATTTACCGACTTTCGTTCCCGCCATTTTCACGGGCAACTTAATCTCGCTCCGCCTCTCCAAATCGCGACTTCTCGACGCAGCCTCTCTCCCTCTCCCTCTCGCTCGGACGAAACCGCCGTCGCCGGAATGGACCTCTCCGAGATCGCCAGGAAGCTCGGCCTGTCGGAACCCAAGCACCTCCTCCGCAAGGCGGCGGAGCTCCGCCGCCTCTGCGACGTCCAGTTCGATTCCTCCATCATCGGCGTGGTATCTTCCCTTCCCCTCCTCCTCTTTTCTTTTCTTCCCCCCTTCCTTTTTTCGCGCGGCTGCTGGAGTTTGGAGGGCGTTCGTTTTCGCGGTCGATTTTCTGAGGCTCGATGCTTCGTTTCTCGCAGGGAGAGGTCTGCAAGGCCGTAATCTGCTTGGAGATCGCGGCGAACAGGTTGGTCGGACTATCCCTTGTTTGGTCAATCTTCGATTGTGGGGAGCTTATCGGCGGTGTTGATCGGGTGTTGTGGAATTCTGTAGATTGCAGGTCATATTCGATAGGCAGGCCGCGGTGAAGATGAGCGGAATGTCGGAGAAAGCGTACAATAGATCGTTCATTTCGATGCAGAACGGAATGGGCCTCAAGTGGGTTATGCGCTTCCTTCTCTTTAGGAGCTGATTTTGCCTAGCGTGATTTGTTCGATATTTTAACGAGCACGATGCGCGGTGTTGTAGGAATACGCTGGATATAAGAGAGCTCGCGATTCAGTTCGGTTGCGTCAGGCTGATTCCGTTCG